ATCTCTCCATCTTCTAAAAATAGCATCCTTTTGGCTAAAGTTGTTCCTTTATGTCTTTCCTTGAGAAAGCAAGGGTGAACAGAATACTGATCAGGAATCACTAGCAGAGGCTGCCTCAGGAGCATCATTAAGAGACACGTTTCTCCCACAGCCTCCTCTTTTTCTGACCAAGAAAAAAGTATTTTCCATCTCCTTTTTCTTAAGGTTGGAGTAGTGACTGTCTACCCCTGAGCCTCTTCATCCATTCAGGTCTCAGCTTTCCCTACCCAAGACGTGCCTCTGCTTGGTGCACCTCAGGGCTGGAAGGCTGACCAAGCTTCTGAGCTCCCACCCAAAATTCAGCGCAGCCCCAACACTTGCACTGGTCTTATAGGAAGCTGCCAATAGGGTCTACAGACACATATGGAAGGGGAGCTGCATCTAACTGGTCTTCAACAGTCCTTCACTGGGTCATCTCTTAACTCTGCATGATTAATATACATTCACAAATGCAGTGGTTGCATCCTGACCAGGTTTAAGCTGAGAACAACATTTAAAGTAATTTTTCATTTTTGTATTTTTTAATATGCAAACTGATTTTAAAGGCAGTTGGAGGGGGACGTCACCAGCCTCTTCTGTGGGCTGAAGCCATCGATATCTGAAATGCTGTTGGGACTTCACCCAGAGGCTGAAAGGAGAGGGAGAGTTTCCTTTTCCATACAACACCCCCAGCTCCTGCGAAGGGAGAGCTTAGGCAGCCAGCACACCTTATTGTCCCACACAACAATGTTTTCCAAATTCCCCAAAATGGAGGAGAAAAAATGTCTGCTTTGGTGGTGCTTGAGCTACATGGGCTATTAGTGAAGGGAGTAACAGGAGTCAAATGCTGTGCTAAGCATTCGCTTATAGCCAAATAAATGGACAAAAGGTCAAATCAAAGACCATCCACATTCGAGGTTTATTTCAGGACCCCTTCTTCTATCACTACTAGGGGAGCCACAGCCCTTTCAGAAACAAGCTGTTCCTGCTATTGCTGGCTTTGGACAAAAAGCATACTGCTGCTAACCTCTTACATAAAGTGAGCAGACAAACAGCTGAATTGCTGACCCCTAATGGCCTTTTCCCTAGGATTTGTGGGTTTGCACAAAGAAGCCAACATTTTACATGCAGCCCTCGATGGAGTTTGGAATTGTGCAGAAACACTGCTTGGAGTGCACGCTCTTAACCCAATTGTTTGTGTACAATGTTCCTCCTCTCTGATGCCAAACACTGTAGGTCCCTGGGTTATTTTTTTGTTGTTTGTGTTTTTTTAAGCTGCTTGGCCATACACAACTTTGAAACCCTGTATATACCTCCATTGCCATTAACATCGTGATGTAAGTGCAAGCCTGCGGTCAAGGGCATTCCTCTTTGTTACAGTCCATCCTCTTTCTTTGCAGCTGAGCACTCAGAGATCAGTAGATACAAGGTTCAGGATTATTAAACACTCCTTGGATACAAACATGCGAGTTTTCTGGGACTGAGTGCAAGGAGCAGGCAGCAATATGCATCAGGTTTACTTTATTAGGGGGAAATATTTAGCAGAGGCAGCTGACTCAGACCGAGTCTTGACTAAACAATTCCCTTCATCCTTACTTGCAGATTGATTTAACAGATTTTGATAGACTTCTGTCAGCTGGCAACAGATACAAAACGTCCGTAAGGAATTACTATTTCCCTTTGAGTGGAGAACCACGGGCAGACCTCAGGCACCAGGGTGCCAACCTGCAGTAAAGCATCACCATTCTGTTAAACCACAGGCTATGCTGACTTACCCTGCTCAGCAAATCCCAGCGCCTCCAGCAGCCTGCCCCCATCATATCCATTAAAAGTACTCAGACACAGCAGTAAAAGCATGCACTGCAGCAGAGTATTTCAAGGACCACACACTGCCTGTTACCAATGCACTGGATGTTTTCAAGCCTCCCCAAGTACTCAAGCCTCGCACCTCAGAGGATGAGAAAGTACAAGCGATCCAACAGCCCGACTGGTGTATTTACAAAAGCAAAGGATGAAAGCACGAAACACTACAATACTCGAATTCAACAATAACAAAACAGCATTCAGGCATAACAGCCAGCACAAAAATCACCATTGTACATTTCGTTTCCAGTCAGTTGAGCTCTGAGCTGCTAAAGACTACAGTATATACTATTCCATACTCTTCAGCTATACTGAATCCTACCTTCGTATTTTTTGTTTTAATTCAAAAGACATAATTGTTGTGAACAAAGTATTACCTGAAATAACACTTCAAATGCAAATTAAAGCCTCTGTAAAATTATTGTAATGCAAGAGTACCATGGTTTATTAACAGCAGATTTGCAAGGTTAATTTTCAATTAGCTATTTCTTATTAGTTTCCTAGCTGTCTTGCTATTATTAAATTTAAAGAGGAAGATACTTTCAATATGTCCAGCTTCTGTGGCATTATTACTGATAATTATTCCTATTTTCCAATTTGTGTTACTCTCGTGTCTTGCAAAATTTGTAATTAATGAGCAAATAATTATAGCAGCACTTACTAGGGCTGCTTTAGTTAAGGCTGTGTCAGCTTTTGTATTAGGATCCCCATTTTTCAAGGGTTTATAACTCAAGCATAAAAATTCACTCTAGACAGAGCCCTGTCATAACAGCTGTCTGCTGAGCATGATTTTTTTTTGCTTTTAAATGTTTCTAAGCAGCATTATTGGTTCCTTTTTTCAAGTTATGGACATTAAAAAGAAAAATCTCAAACTTCCAAGGACATTAAGTTCACAGTTCTCCATTTTTTATGCTCCAATGTCTCTTAAGTGAAGGCATTTTATTTTAAAGTGAAGGTGTTCACCTTTAAAAATACAAAATAAGATGCCTCAGCATCTCCAAAGACCAGAACCAGGTTTTTAATGCCTGGTGGTCATTAGCTTTACAAAATAGACCCAGAAGAGAGCTTGACATTCAGGGTTGTTTATGTTGATCCCACCCAGTTAAGCATTCATGCACATACTCAATTAAGGCACATGAGTGGCCCTTAGGAGTCAACAGGCCTGTCTACACTCTCAGAGATGCACATGTATTCACTGCCCTGATTGAGCAAAACAAAGCATTGCTTTTGACACAAGTTTTAGGCTGTCCCTATTCACTGCAAACTGTTGTACACATGCTGGGGAAAACTGAGCATCACAGGGTTCAGTTCTTCAGGATGCTGAGGACACAGCATTCCTTAAACCTATAGGGCTTAAAAGGCTCAGCACCTTCTTAACAACATGCTCAGCATCATGCAGTGTCCTGTCTGGTGCCAGTATAAAACTTATCACAGAACTGTTGTTTCTCTTTCAGCTGGAAGAGGAAGCCCGAAGGTGAAAAAGGGAAAGGGAAAAGCAGTGCGTTCTGAAACACAAAGTTTGCTATATGCCCCACACGCTTTGCCACAAACAATAATGACAGCTCTAGAGCAAGAAAATCTATCAAAATTCAGGCACTACAGGAGAGCTCATCACAACAGCTTTCTCTAAACATCCTACATAGCTGGTCACCCAGAAAACACTGAGTGCACCCCTTCATTACTGCCTGGCCTTCGGTATGCCTTGTCCTGCAAAGATTTTTGGAACAGTCATCTAGCTCCTGGGAAGCCACCCTTGGAACTGTTTGACTGCAATATTGAGTTTAATTAAAGCAAGACCTCTGCAATTCAGCAAACAAGGAACAGCATCAAGTCAGCATATCAATAAGCTCATTTTAGGTAAAGTTTGGAAGAGCAAGGTGAACAAGACACTTTCAGCAGCAAAAACACACGCAAAAAAAGCCTCCAAATATTACTTGGAAACACAGAGAGGAGACCTACTTGCATCAGTCACAGCAATCCACATCATGGAACACAAGGTTTGTCCTCTTGAATATCCAGGCAAGTTATCCCTTAAGCCTCCTCATCAAGAAAAAAGCTGTAGGCTCTGTGCACCTCTTGTTTATTTTCCCTTGACTTCCATCAGCTGAGGCTATTCCCACCCCTGTTTGGTGCAATTACCTTCTCATGTTTGAGTTAATTTCTACAGAGGGCAACTCCTTTCTTAACCTATTAGTCAATTCAGATCCATGGCACTTGAGCCTTTTACCACAATGACTAAGAGGGTGCAAACATACCTTCCTACTGGTGCCATCCTCATGACATACTTTCCTAGTCCATTAGCAAATCCACCAATAACCTCGCCATGTTACAGGAATGCTGAGATATTTATTCCTGCAAAGCATATATAGAATCATAGAGTTGTTTATGTTGGAAAAGACCTTTAAGATTGAGTCCAATGGTTAACCCAGCACAGCTAACTCCACCACTAAACCATGTCCCTAAGTGTCATGTCTACATGTCTTTTAAATACCTCCAGGGATGGGGACTCCACCGCTTCCCTGGGAGCCTGCTCCAGTGCTTGACAACCCTTCCAGTGAAGAAATGTTTTCTAATATCCAATCTAACCCCCCCCAGTGGAACTTGTTGCCCTTCACTGGACCTGCTCCAGCACCTCAATGTCTTTCTTGGAGCAAGAGGCCCAAAACTGAACATAGTATTCAAGGTGCAGCTTCACCAGTGCACCAGTACAGGGAAGTGATCGCTCCCCTAGTCCTGCTAGCCACTCTATTGCTGACACATAGCCTTGCCTAGCTACAGCCAATGTTAATCTATAACAAACCCTAGACATATAAACCAACTGTCTATCTTCCAGCTAAATATTTTCTATTGATGACCTTGTGTCATGAGCTTGCCCAGTTAAAATTAGCTTGCTAAATCTAGTCAGAGGAATATATATGTGCTGATACCCCACAGTTGCTGATGGCCTCACATTTTGACTGTAACCATGGCACTGCTGGATTTATCATGGCTGCATGGCACAATGTATACCCCATTATTCTTTCCTGGCAGCTTTGTATAGCTTTTATTTAGCTGTAAAAATAATTTACATTTCTTAAGCATCTGACTTAAAGATAAAATAAAATTATGACATTGAGAGCTGGAGATTTCATGCGAATTTATTTGTAAATACAAACCACGTTTAGAATGCAAAATTACACAAATGTCTTCTACATATCACCCATCTCTCAGAGAAATTAATTCTTTACTTCTTTAAGAATCATGCCTTAACCTGTTATCTATAGCGGCAACATGAATGGAAACTCAGTAGAAAATCTGAAGTGAAATTTGGGTACCCTGGGTTTCTGAAGAGATCAATTACATGATGAGGAATTCTCTCCCTTCTGTTTCACTGACTTGAAGTTGTTCCAGGTCACCAGCCTGTGGCACTCTCCGTCAGCACCTCCTGGCCTGGGATGAAATGCTGCCTCCACTGAAGTCATTGACAAACTCTTGTTTGGCTTTACAGGGGCCATGATGTTCAGCTGTCATAAGTGATGCACAGGAAATGCAGTGACACCACGAGACCACCTCATAGTGCTCATGTATTCACATCACACACACACCCCTCAGGTCCAAAAGTTATGTTATTCGACTATTCCAGAATAATACCTCTGGGAAAACCCAGATACTTGTATCTAACTCCATTACAACAAAACATCATAAATCCAAGTGATTTTTATGGTCTTTCGGAATTTCAGAATGGTACAGAATGTATTTTTTAAAGTGGGATACAAGTGATGGGGGAGTTTCTGACTATAAAGCTACTTTGTGCAAATAATCTAACAGTAGCTATTTTGATTTCAAAGTGGTCATAGATTTTGAATACAAATATGGCTTCATAAAATTGCTTTTAAAACTTTTGACAGTTTCTTTTTGCTTTTCCATTTAGCCCCTTCTCAATCTTGCTTGTTTCAACATTGTCTCTTCTTACACAAGATCTCTGCTTTATATCTAGGGGGAGGGGGAAGAATAAAATCAGTGGTTGTTTTCTTGGCATTCCAATAACAAAATCCCTATGATTTCACAGCTTGATGAACAATTTCAGTTTAACATCCCTTCTACTTGGTGGAAGCAGCATCGAAACCGTCTCAGGAATCTCCATCCTTCCCATTCTTCTGTCACACTGAATTCTCCACTGGGTAGGTCCTATTCCCATGGCATGTGATGAAAAAAAAAAAAAATTATAAAAAAAGTGGAAAATTATTTCCTAAGAGAAAAAAAAAAAAAGACCAGCATAAAAACAATATCTGCCAATGCCCTGCTCTTTCTGTAGCTGTGCTTCCATGTTGAGGCTGAATACAACTCCTGAACTGAAAGTAACACAGAAAACTTCTCCTTTAGTCAGAAAGCAGTTCTGCAGCGCGTTGGCTTTGCCAAACCTGTGTAAATCCACACCACCCGAACTTTTGAGCTTCTGCTCATTATACTACGTGTGAAGGCATCCAACTGAGTTTTGCTGTCTCTCAAATCACTTCTACACGAAGTCAGCTATCATCTCAGACGTATTAAAATAGTTATTTCAGCATTTCATACTAACAGACATGCAATTTGTCTTTGCCTCTTGCCTGCCACACAGCGCTGCTTGGCTTTCGGTGCGTACAGCTGGGGTGAACATGACAAAACCCTGCCCGATTCACATTTCTCCTGCCTGCAGCTTGCTGCCAGCTTGAGGGAAACCCAGGCAGGGAAAGGCTGAGTATGGAGCACCTCAGGAGCCCTTTGAATTACAAAGATGACTTTTAATTATAGATTGCTGCACTCAGCAGCCAACAGGCTGGTCCGGACCCCACACCTCTAAGGACTTGGTAAGATGGAAAAACTCAAGCCCCCCCCATGACTGTTACCACATATGTTACTGCCGTAGGGGCATCCTTATTTGCTTCAATAAGAATGTCCCTTATTTACCTCAATACTGTAGCCAGTGACAGAGTTGGGAGCTCAAGGAACACTGGTTCAGGTAAATTTTTACTTTCAAATTGTAATAAATAATACATTTAATCGTAAATTAAATAGATGTTTTTAAATTGTTTTGTTGTTTAGGGTTTTTTAACATCATCTTCTGAGAAACTGCGCAGGGAAGCAACTCCAGGATTACAACAGAAAATATTCACTAAATGATTGTCTGGAATTTACCAGGCTATAAACTTTCTGTTGGTGCTTTTAACTATCCACAGAATTCCTTAGAAGAAACATAATCTTTGGTGAAGTCTCATGGAAGAACTCAAAACACAAGTAAAATGTCTATTCTAGTGTTTTAACACTGAGGATGTTATTAATTTTATACATTATCAGAAGAATGATACCTTTTGTAACCAATCATTGCTTTACCAGCATACTCAGAAGGTGTCCTGGTGTTATGGGCAGAATCCAGTCATATTCTCCAAGACCACACCTATCTTGATAATTGTAGGGTAGCAACATCTACTGTGAAGAGCAGGAGAGTGATGGCTATGGGTGTTCCGCTTTGCATCCTGTCTGGTACTGGACCAAACTTTCACCAGAACATCTGAAATATGGAGATGAAATGAAGAAATGAAAAAAGAAAAAGAAAAGTAAGGTGTACGAATGAGAAATGTCATAATTAAGAAGAGCCAAGTTAAATGGAGACAGGTTTAACAAATATAGAATAGGTTTACATCTCAGGAGGCAATAATACTTTTACAACCTCAGACAGGACCTGAGGCTCCAGTCGCGAGGAGTTTATGTGCTTCAGTCCCATTGCAAACAATTGGATTTAAGCACACGTTTAAGTGTGTGGCTGAGCAGTGATGGTTTGTGAGATCTCTATAAAAGCACAACCTTCTATTCTCCCAAACCATATGGGTTTGACTTCCCATATGGAGTGACAAAATAAAAATATATTCTAAAAATAGCTCTCAAAAAATGCACTGGCTGAAGGCTGCTTCCTGTGCTACAATTTGATTAGCCTTGTGTTTTATTTCTTCAGCAGCAATTTCAATTTATCTCTGATTTGGAGCATGAAAAGCGGCTTTTATAGTTGTAAGCAGAGGAGAAAAAGGCATCCGGGAAGCAAATATAGAGAGCTCTTCTGGCTTTATAGTAGCTTGCAGGATCAAGTAAAAAGATTTCAGAGCAGCAGAAAACAAAGTGATGCTGGGGGATGATCTGTCTTTGCAATCTGTATTTAAGTTGCCTGTCAGCCCCTCAGCAGAACATTACATATTCTGCGCAGCTCCAAAGTAACCTAAAGGAGCCAAAAATCGTCAGTGCAGAAATCCCCTCTGTGGAAGGGATCTCTGCCAGCATGGCTCCTGCCCTGCTCGGCACAGTAGCCACACGCGGCTCCCTGACAGCTCCTTCTGTCCACTGCGATGAGAGGAGCTGGAGGAGCCGCTCCCACAGCATCGCAGCGTTGATGGATGGTACTGAATGCAAACATTCCCATTTTGGCTCTGCTGGGAGGTGCCTCCTTGAAGGCAAAAAACTTCTTTTTTTTTTTTAAGAAAAATACACTGGAAATTTAAAATTTTAAATTCATTCCTTAAACTTCTGCTGGGTCAGGGAGCAAACCACCAACCAAGCACATGGGGATCTGCTGGTGGCAACTAAGACCTGAATCTGCTGGCACTGGAGGAGGGGAAGGAGGGAATCTACCTTCCTTCTATCAGGTTCTTACTTGAAGGTTCAAGAAGTGTCACAACTGGGCTGAACAGGAATTACTTTCCCCCCCTGCCTCATGACAGCTGGGGAATAGCACCACAGCACAAGCACATCAGCATCCCTCGACAGCAGATGGGTCTGGAGTAGATGAAGGGTTGATGATCCCAGCATGGGGTTTATGTGTGCTTGGTTTGAGACTGACACAACAAGGTGTCTCAGCAAGGATTCTTCCTTTGGGATCCACTACAAAGCTCTTGCAACTCCAGAAGCTGTCCATGGATGCTCGGGCTTTCCTGCTCCCTGGTTTATGTTGCTGCCTTAGACTGAAGACTGGGATCTAACACCCACCCCTGCTCCAGCGGCAACACGAGCACAGGCAGCTGACATTTATTTTTCTGGGCTACACAGGTCCATACCCATCCTTGTAGCCTCTGAGAATCCAATGTGAGGTAACTACTCCGGTTAGAGACGTACATTTATTACTTGTGCCTTTTGCAAAACAAGTAAACAGACAGATAGCAGATAGAAAAGTAACTAAAAACATTTGTGCTCAGCTTTCCAGGATAACAGAGTAAGTCATGTCCTGCTTTTACAGCGTTTCAGTTTTCCCACATCCTTGAGTTTGCTCGGGTTTATGCAAATAATAAGTGTGGATTTCCTGCAGGCCTCTAACACTGCTTTAGTAACACACACTCCGGGAGAGGTTTGCAGTCCCATTTCTGGGTTAATATTTGTCACTGAGTTGCAGAAGTGAAATACAACCGAGAAAAAATGTGCTTGCAAGGAAACTGCACCCCTCTTTTCAGCATGGGGCGACGGGGATAGCGAGCACTGGTGGGGTGGGATGGGAGAGGTATAGCAACTCCCAGCTCCAGTTCAGCCCAGAAGGAATGAACAACCAGTGAAGGACCAACTACTCTCCTGGCCATGTGCATTTGCCAGGTATCTGGAGTGAGATAAAGCAGACAAACCTCTGGTCAGGCTCTTGGTACATGTCTCCAACCCACAGTCCCAGCATCTCCAGCAGCTGAAAATAAAGAGGGTTTGGGGTTGTTTTTTGATGGGTTGTTTTTTCTTGTTTCTCTCCAGACTATTAAAGCTTTAGGAATTACTTTTTCAGTCTGAAAAAAAAGCTCTAGATTTACCCTTAAATGAGACATTTATAATATCTAAGAAACATTAAGACCCAAACAGGGAAAATAAAAGATATCTAGAGTAGGAAGAAGCTGAGCTGCAAAAGCTTTGGAAGAGAAAGGATTAGAGGCCAGCTTTTTTCTAAAGAATTTATATAGAGAAAAAAGCCCAAACCACTTTGGAAACAATTATTTACAAAGTTTAAAGTATTTGGCACCCTTTGGTTCTGTAAGATAAGGGGCAACAAATAACATCCATAGTCACTAGGAGTTAGCCCAATTACTTCTGTCAGCAAAACTAATTCTACAGAAAATACATTTCTTCCAGGAAGAATACTTTCCTTGCTTCAAATTCAGTTTTACATTGCTAATAAGTCTCTTAGCAGTAGATTATAAGTGCCTCTTAAGCCAGGAACAGGCAGATCGCCCTGAGCGCAGCCAGCAGTCTCTTCTCCGGAAGAAACGTGATTGAAGCCAAGGAGAATTTCGCCTGAGGAGGTTCACTGCAGGTGTTTGGTCCCGTGTCTGTACCCTGCACTGCTACAGAAACTGTTAATAATTATTACACACCGCCAGTCTTCAGAAACACAATCTAGAACTATTCTGACCTTTTAACCTCTCCTTACATCTAGAAATGAGAGGGTGTTTCAGAGCTACACGCCCAGAGAATAAAGAGTCCATCTGCATGACAACTTATACAAGGCCCATGAGCCTCAAAAATATGGCCAAAATGATCCAAAAACTTTCTGAAACATCCTAAGCCTGGCAACTGCTGGGCCGGGTAAATCCTTCAAGGGAATGTAAGTTCAGAAGGATTTAACTTCAGTAAAACAGTGATGGATGAGAGATAAAGACAATCAGAGGCAGCCCTCTCTGGCACTGGTGGGTCCCAAGAAGCGGATATGGAGACAAACAGAGAGCTAAAACTTTCTGACGCATCAGCAGAACAATCTGTAAAAACATTTACTGTCTCTTTGTGGATAAATACAACTATACCAGCTCTACTTGAAGGCAGGGAGAAGCCCCAGGCTGCCCCTGGCACCTCACCTGCATGGTGCAAAGGCAGCTTCCTTTCCAGACAGCGTATCAGGGCTGGGCTGGGAATTCACCACTCCAACACCAAGGAGCCTGTCAGTGCCCTCTCATTTGCTGGGAGGGGTGGAAAGAATAAAAAGTGATTTTAGAGCTCACAAGAATTACAGCTGGTAACGCCTGTATGGAACAATAAGCTGTTGTCAAGCGTTGCCTGCTCTGGAGCGCTTTGCACGGAAAAGCATCAGAAACAATGCGCCTCAGGAAGCTGCCGGAAAAAATAAAGGCAGCATCTTAATTCACCCAGAGAACTGCTCACTTGTGCAAAGAAAATATTTAGATTATGAAGAGAGAGGATCGGCTTCCAGCTTTGGATATTCCGGGCAACTCTCCGATTGATTTGTGCATAGGTACTTCACTGAAGAACAGAGATTTGAGGTGTCTATAGCCAGTCCACATATCAAAAAGCATCTGACAAAGTTAGAAATCTAAATCCTGCACCCAGAAAAGGGGCTAAATTCTTTACATCGAGTAATTCCATTTTAATTCCTCATGTTCTTCAATTTTTTGTTCCAAAGGCTTTGTGGCGATTTATGTCAAAGAGCTGAGTAAATATTTTCTTGCACTGTGTGGAAGATGATGTCAGGCAATGATGGAAGTGAAATACTGACTTTGCATAACTGTTTGTAACTCAGATAGAATTGACTCATTTTCTGAGATTATAGAAAATGCATTCTGTGATTATATATGACCCTGGAGGCCCCATGGAGGTGAGATTATGCATCTCACAATGTTATTTTACCAGGAAAAATATTGATTAAGTAAATAAAAAAATCTGCAGGATGTGACTTCATCGTGCACTATTGACATCTGCTTATGTGATTTAAAGGATGTTACTATGAATATCATAGCGGCTAATGTAAATGCTGAAGAAATCATAGGTCAATCATATAATAATAAATACTATCATAAGTTTCCCAAGGCCAGAAATGGCTGAAATGGTAATTGGAATTATTAATTTGCTCTTGAATTATGTGATACTAAAAACACTTAGGTTGCTGCTGCTTTCCTGGAACTGCTCCATTAAAACCAAGTAGATACACTCTCCAATCTTTCTTATTCCAAGAAATAATGTCACCTTTTCATAAGGATATTTTCCTTTCACCTAGGCACCCACCTCACCCTGTGTGCTGCATTAAGCTGCTTTAGAGGGGTGCATTGAGCTACACATATATGTGGTCCCTGTCGTTCTGGGTGCTGGTCTGAGGATGCAGCACTCCATCTGTGCCGTCTGTGTTAGATACCTCACAGTGAGGTAGAAAAAGAGCAGAAAAGCCTCATAACTGTACTGCAGGCATAAAGCAAGCATCTAAACTCGTCATCAGCTGCAAGCCACTTCTTCTCTTAAACACCAGGATAAAGTGCTCTCAGAATGCATTAATGCAATAGCAGATACATTAAGTGTGATGAAAGACTGGCCTAAACAATATGGTTTAAATTGACAAAACACCTGAAACTCATGGCACTATTTATGACGCCTCAGAATTACCCTGGACACAGGGAAGACACAAAGAAAATGTGGTTGCAGCTTTAGCGCAATTCATTTAGGAGTTATCTGGCAGCACCTTGTGCAGCAAAAATAATCACCCTGGCCAGCCTGGTGTTGCAGAGCAAATACTTCCTCCGGAGGCTGAGGGGGCTGACAGCCACTTTAAAGCACAAAGTGCCATTCTTCACCTGCTTTCCCCAGCTCAGTACATGCCTCCTGTGATGAAGGCTGCATGAGTTTGTCCCAGAGCGGTCTGAAAATCAGACGCTGCTGCATGAAAATATTATAAGTAGTAGGAATTGCTGGGTGATCACTGCATTACCTGGTGATTCCTGCCAACAGCTGTACATGGCAGGCTGCTAAATCGTATTTTTACAGGGATAAAAACAAACCAAACAAAAGCTAACACAATCTAATCCTGTAATGCTATCTGAATATTGTTGGGTTGTTTTCCTTTAATGCTTTTAACTCCTTACTGAGGGGAAGCTCATAGCTGAGCAGTCATGTTCTAGCTGCTGCCTAATGTTGAAACACTTCATACAAAGAAATCCAGATATGCCATGAGTATTTTAGCACAGTTATACAAAAGTCTAAAATTAGGTCATAAATTATATAATCTTGCAAGGAAACAACAAATTTAATGACTATGCCAAACCAGAGATAAAAGCTGAGGAAGGAAATAGCATCTTGCTCATTAAATATTAAGGATCAGATCCTTCAAACATTCTCCAGTGATGAACTCTGTGGGAGTTTGGCATCTGTATTTGCGTGTATTCTATAGAATATGCTTATACATCATATACAAGTGCTGAATGTGATTTATGGAGCACAAACACATAGTAAGTATATTTATAATGCATAAATACATTCCATCAAGAGCACAGAAGGTGATTAGTGACAGTTTCCTAAGAGGTTTAATCAGATATTTTGAGGGCTTATTTCCAGTGTTGCTCCAAAAAATGTTTTTCATTACAGGGCACTGAGAAAGAGCAGGTAGAGGCATCTCTGTTTCACACTTACAGCAGCAGATAGCAGATAGCAGATTTAGAGATCAGCTCTGTTCCTCCTCGGCAGGATTGAAGAACCCTGTAAAAGAAAAAAGATTACCAAGTTATAACAATAGATTTGAAAATTCCCTGCAACCTTTGAATCTCTCCCCTAATGCCACCGTGCCCTGGCTTTTCTTCTACCCTTACAAAAGACAAATCTGATTTGATCTATTTGAAATAATAATGCAGGGGTGAGGTCTTGTGCACATTCCCTTCAAAGTTTTAAGCAATTCCCCTGGGACTGGTGGCTGGTGCTAATGTTCTGAGTATGTTAATGAGAGGGAATAAGAGCCTCTGATGGAATAAGCCAGATAGCGCTCCCTTCCTTGCTGTCGTCAAAGCCTCTCTGATAACCATGTCCATTTTTGCAAAGATTTGAGTCATTTGTGGATTGACTACATAATCCTTGTGCTGAAGCCTGGAAAAACTGCTGTTGATGCCCTTGGCAAATTCTTATCCTAAAAAAGCATGAAAAAGAGTACCAAGTAATTTCAATTCCATAAAATATATTAAATGCAGCACACAGGTATGTAAATGGGAAACACCAGAACTGTAATTTACTCATTTAGAGCCTGATCTAAAGGCTATAAAAGTTAATTTGAAATCTTTTCATTGATTTTAATGGCCTTTAGATCAGGCCCACATTATTCACTGCATATCATGTTTGTTTCAGTGCAATAGTGTATTTATCCAAAATGTGAATTATGTGGATTATTACACATACAGATCCACTTCTTATTGTCCAAAGGCAAAGCCTGTGAAATTTATTGACTTTAGCAGCACACATAAAATCTAAAAATCAAAAGAAAGCCCCAAATAATGATAATATTTTTTAAAATGAGATAAAAAATGAGGAGGCCTCCTTTTCATTACGTACTAATACAATCTAAATGTGTTTTAAGCATCATGAAATCCAAATGGAATTTGTCACAATTCCTCATGTCTGACTGCAGCAGTTCAACAAAAAATTGCATGTAAGTGATTCAAAACCTCTTGAAGAAACAGCATTTTTTTCTAATTTGAGGAGAAGAAAAATAATGTTACAACCCAAGCTCAGCAAGGGATAACAGTATTACAGTTGCTGCACAGAGAATTTAGCCACTCATAATTCTAAATCCTTCCCAAACGCTTTATTGCTATAAGGTGGCTAATACCAGCCTCTACACAACAGGACTCCCATAGCATTAACCATGAGAGATAGGCTTCCAGAAAGAAACTATAGCAGAGTAATTGTAAATCTCTAATGATGCATAAAACCAAGCTGAATTGGTCCTGAATTCTCAGCATAAAAGAAATGAACCATCAGAAGAACCAATTCTGGTGGCAGTATAACATACCCCAGTGTGGAAACTGTTTATGGTGGTTGCTGCAGTGGAAATATTCCTACTAATATGCAAGCAATACAAATTCATTAAAAATGCCTGAATGCTGCAACTTCTTATGATACCATGTGTGACATTAAAAGCAAATCATTAGCCAAAAGAAAACCTCATCTGTATCAAAACAATTCACCATCTTTCTCAGTCATAGATAGTTTTCTATACAATAAATTCACTGGGTTCTGCATGTTTTTAAATCCATCTTGCAAGACTTTGGTGATGGTTTTGCTCACCGTGCCAGGCTGGGCTGTCTTGGAGCTGCACCCCACTAGGACTTCTCATCACCAGGGGCTCATCTGAAACCAGACTGACTATGTGGGATCAGCCTGAAGCCTCATCCCCACCCTGCTTCACTGAAGAGAAGCTGTGCTGGGACCTCCAGCAGTGACCTGGGACCTCCAGCAGTGACCTTCAAGGGTACAGAGCCATCATCACATATCAGCAGGACAGGGTTGTCCCAGCTTGTGTGCCAACATAAACCCAAACTCTCCTGTTTCTTTTGAGAGTTTAGTCAATTCCCTCCTGAAAGGCATCTGATAAAATATTTAAGTCCATAATTAATTATACTATTTAATTGATTAATTATGCATTCACAAACTTTAGCAATAAACTCCACCCATTCCAGACACCCCAATGCACAAATCTGGACCTTCATCCATTAATCCATCACTGTCCAGATGCAACTTCCTCCAGAAGCAGGTCAGATTCATTATATAAGAGACCAGAGATCACTTACTCGTATAGAAGAGAGGCACAGCACGTGCTGAGGTTCTGCACGTTTCCCTATACAGCCTCACCCAGAAGCTTCAGTGTGGTCATAAACACGATTTCTTGAGATGAGAAGACCGTCTTGTTTTCGCATCTAGAAGATCTCTGGCTTTGTTTTAGACATTGTCAAGAGGTATTGCATGGGATGATGCTTTTCTAGCACCAGGGCATCTGTCCACCGAGAACTAGATTGACAAGGCTGCAACGGTTGGGTTTGTTTTATCATTTCACAACTCTAAAAGCCAGACATCTGAAAGCTCAGATACATCATTGCACAGTGTCAAAATCGGCGAAGGCACAGATTTGAAATCTGCATACATGGACAAAAATAGGGTGTATCTGAAATTAATTAAAATTTCTAGTCACGACCTCAAGAACAATATTTACCCACAATGAGCGTGCAGCAATGTATATCACAGTGCGTGTTTTTTAGGGAAGCTGCAGTTTTCAAGTCTGACATGTAGGACTCTGAGGCTTAGCAGTGACTTTTTATTTTATAAAAGCATTTTAAAGAATTCTGTTATAAAAACAAGAAGCAAATGTCCATGACAAAAAGTCAAGCAAAAATGAAATGAAACACGAATGACCCAATTTGGCTTTCTATGCTTGCAGTTGCAGCTATCTGTACTACATACTACATATGCGGTATAAAACATACCATAACTGTGTATAGGTGTTATGGCCTCATCTATAATCCCCATGGAAATTATGGGAAGAAAAGGTGAACAATTTTGTACAAAATTAAAACCAAAACGAAACCATTGATCTGACTGCAGTTAATGAATATTTTAACTCTGACAGCAGTAGCAAAAGTTAGGATGAGGATAAAAGGTGAAGAAATTAAGTTTCCTTATTAAATATCCTCCTCATACATAAATATATATATATAAAAACAATAAAGGAATGGAGAAACTGATGAGAGGGGAAAACCGCGGCAGGCATAAAAGAGAAACAGACTCCTTCACAATGCTACAAACTTAATTCACGTTTTCAAGGTGCTGGCACCATGAGCATCTTTTTTATTTACTTGTGAGCGGTCTTACTCTGTAAGGAATTTTTACAGCTGCTCATTTTGGACAAAAAGCCCAAACTACTTGACCATTTGCCCTGAGGATCTTACAGCAGTAAGTGCTATCCAAGATACTCCATCTGACACCTCTTTATTCAAAGGTACCTCCATTTTTTCCAATCGAACAGAGCAACTCTAATTAAATTTAAACAAGAAGCTAAAGTGAGATGAATGGTTTATAGGAGCTTCATGCTTCCCTACATTGATTAATAGATAAAGAATTCATACCTCCACCAAATTAGTTTACAAACCCTGCTGTAATTTATTCCTTGTACATGATGATCTGTAAGCACAGTGCACTCTAGTAGGGCCTGAGCTCCAGCTCCATCTAAATATATTTTGTGCTGGTTGGCTGCACCCACCAGGTATTTACATTCCACAAATCTTTTCTTTATATTCAAAATTTCTCAATATGGGTTTCATTTTAAATTAAACTAGTGGTGGTTATTCTAGCATAGAATGCCATTATTTGTGAATCAGGCTTGCAATGTGAGCAGTTGCATCGGAACACGCTGTTTCTTGGTGCCTGAAGAACTGCTGTGCTGAGTTTTGTTTTTCCTTTTGTTTTCCCTGATGTTGTCCTGCTTATTGCTCTGCTCTGTAAGTGAGCAGCAAATGCAATTTTCTTTCACATATGGATTAAGTTTTGCTAGAGCCATGCATTTGCCACTTCACAATCAAGCTCTTTAACCCACAAGCTGATCCACATGATGTCTGACTACTTGTAAAGCAGAGCATTACAAGAAGGTGGCACGCCAGAGGCTGCACCAAGTATTGCCTGTCTGTCCTGGGCAGGAGCAAGCCCCAGCCACCATGGACCAGGCCAGAGCTTTAACTGGGCTCTAACTTTTGGACACGACACTGGCTGATGTCATTTGTAAGGAGTTTACTTTTCAGACTTGTGGGGTTCAGGCTGGGGTGTGGACCAGCAGCTGGTAAGAGATGTATACAGGGCTTAATCTCATTCTTCGATTACTTTACAGTTCAATTTTGCAAGGGGCATCCAGCCCTTGAGATGGATATCCTCGTGTTGGAAAAACAGAAATCAATAAGTCTATTCAGAAAAACATAATTTCATTTTGCTTCTTCACCAGGAATTGAGATACACACAGCTCTCGTCCCCACTCTTCCCTGACTTAAATATATCCTGTGTTATATAAGTAATTGTTTTGAACCCACTCTAGGACACAGTCAGAGGCATGACTCCAATAACACATCATCAGTAAAACAAAGCAAAACAGTTTAATGTCCCTGCTGGTTTTGTATATACACTCTTAAATGAGCAGATTCTCTCATTATTCACCCTGATCTGGTCATTGTATGCTTAGTCACAGCTGTGACAACAGGTGCCCAAGCATCTTTCTCCTTCATGGTACTGCGTTTTCTCTATAGAGTTTGTTGTCAAATTCCTCTGCTGCCTTTCTCTGGTGGCTTTGCTGTTTCCTCTCCAGCTCTTCCCCGATGCAACTTCATAATTACCCCTGAAATCATCCAGGGCTGGCTGACTCTGGATGTGACAACCATTCATCTTAAGCATCATCTCTTCTTTACAAGTAGTTCTTCATCCCATCACATGAAACCAGTTTATCCACCAACTCTGGTCATGCTTTGCTTGCCTGGACCTTTTTTGCATCTTTCTTGATACATTCAATGACCACTGTTCCTAACTGCAGCGCACAGCTATGTGTTGTAGAATAGACTTTGGGACTATGCAGCAGCTAGAGATTGATTCCTCTATCAAACCAGATTATCTCCTCCTATGCCAAATGGCAGCAGGAATCTCCAATGACTGGTGGATTTCCAGATGGGCTCTTGTTCAACACTGTATTTAACATGAAAATTCTTTGAAATTAATTTATGCCCTAAGATATAATTTATATTTATGTACCATTTATATATTTTTTATACAATTTATATACATTTATGCCCCAAGATATAATTTCTTCACTTTTGTTTCTCTTTAACATCCTTCAATAGTAGTTTGAGGTTCCCAAAATTGACTGCAGAACTGCTTCCCTCCTATTTCACTCCTCTAGCCGCATATTTACGTACTGCATTTTCCCACTGAGCTTAGCACTCATTTGGGATCTTTTACTGCTGAAAATCCTGTGAGTTCTTAAATTATCAGCACTGTGCTACTGAGCACTAACAAAGTTTATCTGATACAACAGCATATCAAACATTTTTAGTTCTGTAACAAATGTTTACTTAGCTGGAAGCAAATCTCCTCTGATATTAAAGTACCTCCAAATAAAGAGACCATTTGATATTATTTTTTTGCTATTGTCTTCAAAGAATATAGTGTAGGTTGGATGCAAAATATACACAGTTCAAGCTCTTTTATGTTTTGTTGATATCAGAATTTAGGGCCTGATTTTCAAACTGCTATAATCTATCAGTCCTGCTGATTTGCAAAGGCTGGTGGGGGAGAAACCAGACTGAAAGCTAGCTATGCAACCTATATCAGTCCCCTGAAGCACTGAAAAGATTGGGCCAAAACATTAAGGCAAACACTTTCTATAATTTTACTTCAATAAAATTACAAAGGAGCACAGAAAATATCCAGCTTTTGAGTCACAGAACAAATAGATTCAGTACAGTACCAATAACATTTAGTTTGTTTTCTCCCTGAAACGCCACAGTTAGGTGTTAAGACATGCATTTATAGCTCAGGTTTCTTCCATTTGGGATCAGGACTTTTTTTTTCCCAATTCACCCTTACAGTACTGCCTTCCCTGTTCTATGGCACAGTATAATATCCCTACAGAAATTGCAACCACTTGCAGTCGATAACAAAGTATAACAAATCTTTAATACGTTGCCACCATATTTAACACAATTTATTAGCTGACAACCAGAAGTAGAGGCAGTATCATGTATTCATCTAGCTTTCTGTTGGTCACCTACACTTTAAAGAATTCATTTTATTTATTATTAGGCTTTGCAGCATTTTGGATGTATTAATTAGCATGTTGAGCTAAATTGAATTACTTAAATTTTTGCTGCCATAAAACTAAATAACGGATTCATTCATCTCTTATTTTCCCTTTTTCCCCAGATTACTCTGAAGGTAATGTAATTATTGCCAGGGTGTGTGGCTTGACACCTCCCAGGATGGGAAGTCTCCCAGGCTTGCATTTGCTAACCTAGATGGAAGCAGTTCATCTGTTCTGCTATGGTGCAAGTCTGCCTGAATGCAGGCACATATTGATCTTAAAGAAAATATAAATCTACAACAGATGCAACAAAATTAACAGAGGTGAGCAGTGATTCAGGGGAAAAAAAATCAGAACTCCAAGACCGTGTGAAGCAACACCAGCAGTGCAAAGAACGTCAAGGAAAGGAGCTTAGCCACAGCTCTTTTTTTTTTACCTTGTTCTAATTGCTTTAGTTCATGGCTTTAATTCACTTACTTTCTCCAAAAATCATTGGTCAGAATAAAGGAAACCTTGATTGCTGTCTGCCAAGCTGACTGGCAGGTATCACGTCTCCAAAGGTAACGGGACGCAGTCTTTCCCATGGGGCAGAGAGCAGGAGTTTTGAGCTGACTCCGTTTTACATGGCATTTCTGTAGCTGTAAAAGCTCCATGTTCCATATTGCTAACCTCTTTCTATTCGAGGATCCAGGAAAGGTGGCTGTGTCAGCTACCCAACCTGAAGTTGAAGACTTTTATGAGTTAGGTGACATTTTAGAGCACAATGACTACACAAAATCCTTATCAAAGACTGTCAGAGAGTTGGAATTACTGGTGGTTATCAGTCAATAATTGTTAGAGCAACTGATGGGTAAGCGGTAACCCTTCACATGCAATTCTTCTGCGGGAATGAAAAAAGCAGCTGGAAGGAATTCATAACAAGAACCTTGCAGAGCTGAAAGAAATCTAATGTATAAACAGATTATTATTTCCTGTGGATATCGATGATAAATGAACTGGATTGTGGTGACATCTGGGAAATAGCACCACACTCTAAGCCAGCTGAAATCCCTGTGGCTCAAGGTAAAAACCTCTGCTGTAACTTGTAAGAACTCAGTACAAAGAAAGCTCTAAGTATCTGGGTCACTAGAAGTACAGAAGTTTAACATTCCTCTTACACACTTTTCTTTCAATTAATCTTTCCTTTGGGTTTTCAGTGCAATGAGTCATTGATTATTACGTGGAGTGCTTTATAGGGTAAATTAATTCATATAAGAGAAACATTAAGATGTGTTAAGTAGCCAGATAAATAAATAAAACGCAAAGTGAGTTGGTCAATCGGTTGCAAGTCAGCCCCAGGGGACTCCCATTTCTGTAAATCAGCTACTCAGTGAGCACTACCAATACCTGTGCTCCTCTTTCCTCATTTTCCTCTTTACCTATACCTACAGCTTTCACAAAATATGAAAAATCCGCATAGAAAAAGCAAATATAACCAATAATCTGTTCCTCTGTTGAAAATTAGAATATATAATATTTTAACATATATAATAATATTATTATAAGAATATATATAATAATATATATAATATTCTAATATATATGTTGAGATGATAGCTAATTACATGAGAACATGCAAAAAATAACTTTTCCATTCAACAAAAACCTCTGTTCAGTGCATGGTCACTCAGTTCAGCATAATAAAGAGCATTTTTAAAAAGAAAACAAAGCAGTAAAAGTAAAATATGTCCATTTATGGTTAAAAAGAGAAAAAGTTGATGTTTGGAGAAGCTGGTGGTACCCATGAAATTAATTGTAAAATTATTCTATGGGCATGGGACAGATCTAAAGATATTACCTGGCTTTTCACAGTGCTCCAAAAAGATTAAACTCTAACGAAAAAGACATTGAAACAAGAAACATGCTCAGTGCAAACAAGGATGGAAAAGGAGCTACCTTCCTCCTTGATACATCTCCCATTCTTCTTTAGCCTTGTACATATCAGTATGTTTATGTAGAAAGCCATTAACCAAGCAGTCAGCAAAGAGTAAGTTTGCAGCTGGCTTTCAGAATTACACACAGGGGAAAACTACCCTAAAGAAACAATATAATTCCTCATGACATTACCTTGAGACCAGTCGTGCTGTGAACTAGCCTGAATCACAGAAGATTTTGCACCACTAAAAATATTTAGGAGATGCCGGGGTTATAGTTTATGAAGATCCCAAATTCCCTTAGTGTTAAACTGTATAAATCTAGAGTAAATGTTGCCTCATATTTTGACTGTACATGGAGCTACAGCATATGTGTATATCTTGGCTCCTTTGCTGGTTTTTAACATCGAGAAGGGTTCCCATCATTGTGAGGATGTTCACATCGGTCTCATTTTGTCCCTGCAAGACATGACCTTTGCTGTCTACAACTTTGGAAACTGAATTTTAGATGTTTGCCAGCAACATGCCATGAACATCCAAGCAGGGAAAGGTAAAAACCACCTCAGTTTGCAAATATATATTCTTCAATTCATACTGCAGAGAAAGAAGAAAAGAAGAAGATACCTTTATAGAGGAAAATATTCATAGAAATCAGAGTCTAAGCAGAGGGAAATGCTAAATTCAAGAAATAAATTAGCCATAATATGCACTCCGATCTAACCTGGAATGAGCTATTAACTCATTTCACACTGCAAACCTTCAGGGGCAAGAGCCACATCTTCCACAATGGGACTTGCACAGTCAAATTTAAAGCACATTAATGGTATTCACCGAGCACTGGTACCATAAGATGGCCTTACCAAGCAGTCTGAGCACTGGTAGAATAACTTATATCCATGTGAGTTCCTTCTTACAGTAATGAACATTTACCAGGCTATGTAGAGGTTGAATTAGAACCCCCTATTTGGAGCACAGTATTTAAACATAGCAAGGAGCCCTTTCCCTCCCTGGAGATCACTGTTTTCCCAAGCAAATGGATGGATTATAATAAGCCATTGTGTATTATTTTCTGTTTGTCAATGACCTAGTTCCCATGCTGTCTGCAATACTGAAATGGGAAACTAAAGCTTGGGGGTTTCTTCAGCTGGAGTAACTCAGCCCTGCTCGCTGTGTCAGTGCACAGCAGGCAGAGAGCATCTCCCAGTGAACACATGAAACTCAGAAAGTTTCATTTCTTGGCTTGAATAAAATGAGAAAGAAAGATACCTTCCCAACATCAAACAAACAGGTGAGTGAGAGCATCTTTACAAACATGAATTCTGAGGTGACTTCAATGACAGAGGTTGGCTTCTTTGACAGCTCACAAAATTAGGGTGCATTTCTGAGAAGAATGCATAGATTTTCCTTCTTGACTTGGGACTGATGAAGTTCAAATGGCTATTGACATAGGGATTTTTTTTCCAGGTTTCTTTGCTTATTACAATTAATATAAGCACGTGGTGAGAATCTTCACAAAAGAGCTGCATTCTGCCTTATTATTATCTTGGCAAAATACTTTTTATTTCCTTAAAATTGTGTGTTGCACACTGATGATCCTTGCAATGCTTTACAGATAGTGCATTTCTACATCACTTAAATCGTACATTATAATTTATAGGTTAGTTATTTTATTTTGGTGTCAATCAAAATCGGAAACTGTATGAAAGAGTTTAGATTAGAAGAAAGAGATTTTTCATGGTAATCTTTAATAAGGGAGTGATGATATTATAAGAGCTATTACACAAATAATAATAATAATATCTAATTATAAGCTTGTTCCTGTTTATTTAAATGTTCCATCTTGTGCTTGTTTGTAAAAAGTTAATAATTACATCGTGGTTAAACTGATGTAAATAGGTGAGTCTGCTCTGGGTAAAACCTGCAACACTGAGCTGCAGCGCTACCTAATCAGCGAAGAGTGGATACTGAGATTTCAGCCTTTTTTCTTGCAGCATACAACACCCTTCTAAAGAGGTATTTGATGTTTTGACCAAGTAAGTCCCATAAAACTGGCAGGGTGGACGACACCCAAGCCCCGCTCTAGCACAGACAAGAGGCTGGTTTTGAACGAGTACTGCCTCTGCAGAGGCTTCAGTACTGGTGTTGCTGGGTCAGCACAGACAGCAGTACACACAGCAGCAGAGGAGGAAGGCAGAACATCACTGTAATTTCCTCCTAGGTCTGTCTTGCCCTTACCTGACCAGGCTGGAAGCTTCCAGCGGTCCCCAGAGCATACATATATGATATTGGTGACCCTGCTTGGCACCTACCAGCTCTCCTGCCATCCATGAGCTAAAATACATTCAAAATCTTTTTAGCTAAACTTTTTATTTTTACGACTCCTTTCCTGTGTTTGTCACTGAGATCCTGCAACCCACAGGGCAAGAAATGAGCTGCTGTAAAGAATCTCTGTTGTCCCCGTATAAAAGTTATTCTTGAGGAACCAACTCTCAAAGCATCAGGAACCCCAAATGTACCAGCGTGCTCTGACCCCACAGGAGCACAGTCATCCTGACTACTCCTCCTGAAAGCCTCCCAGCAGAGGCTGGGACAAAGCACGAGTCATTAACTCCTGGAGACTGCACAAACACAACTACTCTGTTTGCTGCCCATACCACAGTGGTTAAACACTGACACTACTTACTACCTCCCTCATGCACAGCAGACCTCTGGCAGCTGTTGATAAATGCGATTTCAGGATGGGCTGTGTTAGATCACAGGTATTTGTACTTGTAAAGCCATCTCCTGTGGTAGCCCAGCCATCCACGGCCATATGGACCAGTGAGAGCACTGCTGGTTACATGTGTAGGTGGCCCTTTGGTCAGATTTGGCAGCAGCACTGCACTGCAGAACCCCCCCATACACACACACACTGCGCAGAGTCAGCTCCATAAATCACACATTACCATGCATAAATCACACACCACCATGCATCTCTCTCCAGCAATCCAGAGGCTGTCCAGCTGGACCACGGGCACAGATCATTCACCCCTTCGCATTGCAGTGGTGGGCAGCAGGTAGCAATGCATTTTGGCCAGCACAGGATGCTAAATGCTCTCCATGGTAAAAGGACACCCTCAGAGCAATGCAGGGCATCAGCTCAAATCATCTCAAGACCTAAATGGGCCCTGGTCTTTCCACCACCTTAGAGGAAGTGTAGGGGAAGAAGTCCACCTCAATTGACATTGGATTTTCTGCATAGAGAAACCCAGGTGCTTGGAAAGCAAACTTTCTTCTTCCTGAGAAGAAAACACCTCTTGCACACACCTCTTCCAGCATTTTGCCTGCTTAGAACAAATTGCTGCTGTGGTGGTTACTTTCCTGCAGAAACAAGCAGGTTAGCCTATGTGGTTTAGAAATAGCATTTGCCTTCTTCCCCACAGATGGCAAACTCCTTGGTTTCCGCCACCACTAAGCATACAAATAAATCAAGATATGATCTGCTAACATATTCAAAATTCTGTTTGGCCTGAATATTTTTTTTTTTAGCTTCAAACATCAATTTTGTTTCATAATGAATACATGCTTCATCTCATAGCATTTCATTTTTCATACATTTAGCAAAATGTTTAACTGGTTCCTTTTTTTTTTCCAAAGCAGCTTCATTCCTACCCTAAAAACATGCGAATCAAAGACATACACACTTATATAATGTGAAGAATTCCCTACCCTTGGTTCCATCGCTAAATTATAAAATATTCATAATATCTACATTTTTTCACAAAATGGATTTTATATCCTGACTTTTTTTAATGAAAATCACATTAGGATACAAAATTCTACAGGCCTCTCTGTGCAGCTCTTCCCATTTTTATTTGCCCCCCTCTCTGAAGGAAAACTTCCTAGCACCCATCCATGTGCTCCGCATGCCAGCATCCTGATAACATCGGTGAGGCACATCCAGCACTCACTTCCTAAGCTAATGCCCTTTGCAATTCTTGTCTGAACAGTTGTTAGCTGAAGACAAGAAGCCTTATTTCTATTCATTCCCTACATAATCCACCTTATGAATTTACACCTCACCTACCCGCACGTTCAAGGACCCAGAAACACAAAATATTTCCCACTGTGTTTTAAACCCACATCCTCCTGGATACAAGATAAGAGCTTAATAGCTTTGACACTGCACTGTTTTCATATTCATGCATAAGTTATGGATACAGCAACAGATCAGCTCTTCTTTGTGCTTCTCATTGGCTCTGGTTCGCTGCCTTAAACTGTCTGAGTCAAGGCCACGTTTTAATGCCATAGACTCTCTATTCAAATACCAGTATGACCACATTTTAAAAGCCACCCTGTACCACTTCATTGCCGCAGATGTCCTTTACATCTGGCAAGGCCCGTTTCTCTGCATGTCAACAGTAATTCAGTTTAACAGCTGTCTCTTTTGACAAGCTTAGTGTCAGACTCTAAAATGACAGGGTGACAGTTTTCCTTTTCTTTAACAGAACATAGTGCAAATTAACCATTTGAATGCAGGATCACTGAACGCCTCCCGAATACAGTTTTCAGAGTCAACTGAATAGGATTTGGGAATTGCTGGTATTAACAACCAACGCTAAAACCTGTAGGGTCTGACAAATCAAGGCACTTCTCCTATAATTGAGATTCTTACCTGAAGTCTAAGTGTTCAACAAGCAGTAAACCTTAAATTGGGTTGAAATAAGCGTCGGAGGTAAACACTGGGAATTTGCAAACTGGGATGAGAAGTACTTTTCCTGCATTGCAGACATACAAAGAATTTTCTGTATATTTAGTTAGAGTGTGTGTTACTACAGCAGCTAATGGTACTGTGTGTGTCAAATACCACGTGTATTTCAAACGGCAGGCTGCACACACACGTTTTCCACAAATGCCAGGAGTACAAAAGCACCACAACAGAATTTCTCTAGGGCTAAAACTGGGCCTGAGGTAATACTGTGCATTTTAGTGATTGAAACCTTTAGCATGAAAACCAGCTTGTGGACAGCAACAAAGCGCCACCATGATTTCTGAACAACTTGCAAATGCTACAAAGACACTGCTTTAGTCTGGTGCAAGAGCGAGCTTTATGAGTCTGCCTCTATTAGGCTCACATAAAAGTGAATTAAAAAAATATAAACATTACACTGTGCATATTTAAACCAAATACTGAAGTGAGTTGTATGGTGAGCCACTTCATTATGTCAATGTTATACCATGGCTGCCACAATGAGGAGGAAGGATATCGCCCTGGTTTGGTTCTTGTTCTACTGAAACCAATGTCAAACCTCGAAGCAACTGCAGTGGGACTAGAATCCAGGTCACACAGTTTGTGTTATTTTTAAAGAACTATAAAAGCCTTTCTGTTGTTTGTTCCTGGGTAAACAGTTACATCTAAAGCCCTACAAAAATAAGCTGGGTTTTAAGGATAGTACAGAGTGTAACATTGAAATGCCTTTAGTAATAGCTTTTGTTCGCTTATTAATATGTTGCCGTAAGCATTTGTATGTGATACTCATTGCTGTAACACCTGAGCATCTCATAATATTTAGAAAGATTCACACTCAAACGCCTATTACTACCTCTAAAAGGTA